AAAAAAACATTTGAAAATAAAAATAAATACACACACAAAAGATATTCCTAAATAAATACAAATTCTAAATTAAAAAAAAAAACTTGAAAATAAAAATAACACGCACACAAAAAGATATTCCTAAATAAATAAAAATTCAAATAAAAAAAAAAAACACACACACAAAAAGATATTCCAGAATAAATAAATAAAATAAAATAATTTTTTGAAATATCTACTGAATGTGAAAAATACCTGCGGCGAGAACCCCGGACATGTGGTCGTGGCTTTATAGTAATGATAGACCAGCATGAGCAGGTTCCAGTGTCCGTAACAGAGGTGCCAGAGGATCCAGTGAACGGGGTACGTGCTGAAGATGATGGGCAGCACACACAGATACACGATAATCACCACGGAGCTGGTCAAGGCGATCACCAGAGACACAAACACCTTCACCGGGAAACAGAGACCAGGGATTAGAAATGGTCAATCCTGTACGCTGTTAAACTTTAAACACACTTTAAAAGAGAGACTGTGAACTATGCACTAGCTTTTATGATGGATGCAACTTGCTTGGTGCTAAAACACTATAAAAAAAATTTTAATTATGAAATCAGATGGTATTCCTCCTACCACTCCAAACCAGCGGGTCATATTGTCCACCAGCCAGTAGATGGGCTCAAAGACACAGTCCAGCACCGTGTCTGAATTGGTCAGGACGTTGTAGTACAGGGACTTCAGCAGCACCGTCCCATAGTTCCACAGGTCTCGTAATCGGCTCGGCCGCTTTCTGCGTCCTCGTCGAGGACAGAGCCTGAACCAGCGCAGGAAGAGACGCATGACTCTGGAGAGGAACCACCTCCAGCTGCGCATCCCACTGCCTTCAACACACAACGACAGGAGCTCACACACACACACACACACACACACACACACCCACGCTAACAGCTAACAAACACCCCGACCTGTACGCCGCCGCCAGAAATCAGAAACACAAGCTTCCTGACCTTCAGGGTCTTCATCAAGCACACAAATCCAGTAAATAATACAGCAGCCTAAAGAAGCAAAGACTTCTGTGATTAACAAATGACTGATGATCAACAATTATAACTCTATTGATTAGATTATTTTTTTTTTGTATTATTATTATTATATATGAGAATAAAGTGCCTCCCTAAATGAAGAGGAAAACAATAAAAGAAGACATTCCAGAATATTCCAGAAAAATAAATACATAAAGAAGTAAATTAATTAGTTAATAAATATTAAAAATTAATAAATGAAAAAAAAATCTAATAAACACACACATACAGAGTATATTCCAATATATCCCATAAAAACAAACAAATTAATTAATTCAATTAAAAACTAAATACACACACACATATAGAAGATATTCCAAAGTATTCCAGAAAAAATAATAAAATTAAATAAAATTAATTAATTAATTAAAATAAATTTAAAATGTTAAATTATTAAATAAATAAACACACATACAGAAGACATTCCAAGATGTTTTAGGAAACTAAATAAATAAGTAAATAAATAAAACTAAACACACACACACACACACACATATATATATATATATACATATAGAAGACATTCCAAGCTATTCTAGAAAACTAAATAATAAATTCACATTTAAAAATAATGAAATAAAAAACACACACACATATAGAAAATATTCCAGAAAAAAAGTAAATGAATAAAGAAAAAGATATTTTTGGAATCTCTTCTAAAGATCTTACTAAATCTTTCAGGCACACAGACTGTAATAACGTAAAAGTCCTTACCCAGCTGTTATGATTTCTGATTCTCTTATCAAATAAATATATTAAAAAAGGACCCAACAAAAACTGTTCTAACTCATCTGTATCAAGACAGAAACTGCCCTGAAGCCCATTTCCAAGACGCTTACTCCAGCAGTGCAGCGCGCACACACACACACACACACACACACACTCACTCACACACACACACACACTCACACACACCTTCTCTGACATACAAAAGCATTAGTTTGATTAGATAAAACATAGCGAGCTCAAAATACATATCAAGGGGGTGGATAACTATTGCACAGGATTATCAACTAATGTCCGAGACAGAAAAAAACACTAAATATTTGATCAAGTTCTTGGCAGTTCACCTTATGTGACAACAACCAACTTAAGAATAGCTTCAAGTCTCAAGAGCAGTGTAACCCGGCACTGCATGCACTTCCTCAGGAGGACAATAAGAGCTCATCTGATACGGACAGTGACTGATGAAAGTGAGTATTAGTTACAAGATGTTTTAATCTACGCCCCGTGGGGTTCAAATGAGACGGGACATCTGGCCACCCGTGACCCGTACACACTTCTTTTTTTCCAAATGTCGCAGGTGGAAGCTGAGCTTGTGGCAAAAACAACTGCGTGACCTGACACCATGATGTCATCTTGAGGTCACATGGTTACCACGTTGTTATGATAAAAGAAAAACACTTTAACTCACTGATGCATCATGGTGACCACTACAGATGTTAGCCTCTATCAGAATGAATCATTTCCAATTATTAATTCCATATTATCAGTTTGAAATTTAGGGGGAAAAAAGTTGTGTTGTTATGGTTAACTATTTTTGTATTATTAAAAACTACTTATAACAGTTAAAAAAAAAAAAAAGAAATATTAGAAGAAAAAAAATTATTTAAAAAACGTATAGAAAAAAAGAAAATGAAAACTACATGGCAACTAAATGAAATTAAATAAGAATAAGAAAAGAAGTTCTAAATTACTAAAACTAGAACTGAAATAAATAACACTAAAGATAAATGAAATGTAAAAAAATTACTAAAATTTAATATTCAAAAAAACAAAATAATAAATAATAGTATATGAATATTAACACCGATTCAATATATTTGTATCACAGGGTTAAGAAAAGATGATGCTTGAATGTAAACTCTATGGTCAGTATATAGATTTTAATGTTTTGATGGGAAAAAAAGTAATTTTTGCTATGAAATAACAAGAATGGAAGTATGGAGATTATGCAGAGACCAAAAATAAACAAAAATATCTTATATTTGAGCTTCTTTGTCTAAATTAAACAGTATTGAAGTATTCAATATCTGATCAAATGCATCCATCAAAATGCGGTCACATGCATCCATTTAAAAATGTATATAATAATTAATAAAACAATAATAAACACAATAATTAATAAATACAAATCTTATATTTGAGCTTCTTTGTCTAAATTAAACAGCACTGAAGTATTTAATATCTGATCAAATGCATCCATTAAAATATAATAATGAATAAAACAATGATATTACATTTAATAACTAATACAGGAATAAATAAACATAAATAGGCACAATTTATTTGCCTACAAGAATTAATTTAAGCATTAAGTATTCATCATTTACTCACTGGCATGCTCCTATTCGCATGACTTAATTTACACAGACATTAGCCGAATTACAGTCACCAATCGCTTTCAATTTATGGAAAAAAATGCAATGAATTTGGACGGTGACTGATGGCTGTCCCTAACAATCTGCATTTCAAAGGTTCAGCATAAAGTGAGTAAATAAAGGCATGCATCCACTCTACTGGACACGACCTGAATGTGTTTGCATGGGAAGTTCCTTTTCCTTCAAAAGTAAGGAGCTTTGCACTGTAATTGGGAAGGCTTAACCTTTGTCTTACAGCAGATACTCTCACATGTCCTGTTAGCACATTTACTGAACATTACTCCTGCACTTCAGCACACTTCAGGACTAATATAATATAATACTAACTAGCAAAGATGCACTATGAGCGTGAGAGCCTGAAGTGCATGCGCACATCTGCCATCTGTCTGCACTGGAAACCCACACTTGACCTGGTTCCACTCTCATGGTTATGATTGACACACTGTAACACTGAGACGGGTTATGATCTCAGGTGTCCAGCAACACTTTCACTTCTGATCAGAAGATAAACGTTACATTGCGACAGAAGAACAAAGACAATCCAGGTCGGACAATGGACGAACAAATTAGCGAGCAAACCCGTAAAGAAGCATCTGAACGCATATTAAAGTAACGAGGGCTGCTGTGTTTCTGCTGCACATCCACATCAGGTGAAGCTCAAAATACACAGGCAGGGGAACGGAAAAGATTAAAAAGATACGTACCGAACCCGGTCCCGTGAACTTATTCGACCGAATCGCTCATGAAATGATTCAGGTCATGTTTGCAGGGGAATGAAACACATGAAGGATGATCACACATTCAACACAGCTCACTTGGAGCATGAACTGAGTAACAAAGAAACTTCCGGTGTTTACCGCAGTTTCCAAAATAAAAGTCGCGGCTGCAGCGCTCGAACGGAAAAATCAAATATATATTTTTTATTTAATAATTAAAAGATTAATAAATTATGTCATTTTATTTTTCTGTAATACTTTATTATAATAAATAAATAATTTTTGGCCCTCCCAAAAATTCTGTATCAGGCAATGAGAATTGCCAGGCCAAGGAAGATAATTTCAGGACCATTTTATACACTTCCTTCATAATATTTAGGGTAAACATACCAAATAGTAAAGGTCAAAGTTTACTGCATCTACATAATAATATTATGCATTTACATAATTCATAATTTAATCATGAGACACTAGGAAAATAATACGTAAACCGTACATGTGTAAATAATAAGTACATAAAATATTCATTTATTCATAAAAATAATATAATAATTCATAAAAATAATGCAGTGTCCACTGTATTAGAAAGAGTAATCTAATTTGACTGTTTATCATAGTAAAAATAAAATAAAATAAATAAAATATATTTTATATAAAATGTTTAACTGCATTTTCTGCAATTAGGTGCATATATTTATTTAATTGGTAGCAATTTACGACAAGGTTTAATTTGTTAACGTTAGTTAATGCATTAACTATTAACTAACAAGAACAATATATTTTTAATACAATTCACAAAATAAAATAAATAAAATAAATTAAATTAAATTAAATTAAATAAGATAGATAAAATAAAATAAATTAAATTAAATTAAATTAAATAAGACAGATAAATAAAATAAAATAAAATAAAATAAAATAAAGCTGTCTAAACAGGTAACATACATAAAAGATCAAGATTTTAAAGATCAAGTGTTTTATAAAGGAAATTCTGAGTATGGTACCCAGGTTTAGTCGTGCTACGCGCTCTTTAATGTTGCCAAGGGTTACCGTTTCCTTGCGAGAACGGGGCCAATTGACGTCACTGGCAGACTTTGATTGGTGTTTAACCGTTTCCGGTGGGCAGACGTCCAAGCGCCTGTGAAGAATAAAGAGTTGTGCCGCGTCTGAATAACGGAATAACGCAGAAACCGAGTCGCGTTTTAAAGGCTCGGTAAGGAATAACGGTAGTTAACGTGTCATGTTTTGTCGTGCAGCATCTATGATTATCGGTAAATGCTGGAAATGACATTTGTTTATGATACAGATAAAGATGGCGACCGCTCAGCGGCCTTCTCTTAGAGACTTATGGCTTCTTATTTTCAAATATCATTTAGCAAAACCACTCACTAACCTTTTATATTTTATGCGTTTTACGGTTTTAACGTTCTCGTTGAGGTTTCGAGTACGTTTTAGATAACGACATGTCTGCTCTGTGTTGTATTTAGACAGTCTAAGGTGCGTTTTGATATGTGTCTGTGTATTAAACTAATATTTCATACGCATCACATAATAATGTTCCTTTGGTCTTGTAAAATAGATCTAAATGTATGATCGTGTGCTTAACCTTCATTCTATATATAACGTTACTAGTATTCTGATTGATGTTGTTGGAAGTGGAAAAATTATTTTATGTCAACATAATAATAATCAACCTGCAGCATGAAGTTGTTTTTCTGTAAATAATCATAGGAAACGCGTATATAATGGTTCATGCAGTGGATCAAACTGTCCAGGTGTGTTGAAACAACGATAATCTCCAGATTATTACTGACATCAATCTCATCTCTGAGATGATGCTGTAATCCTGTTCCTGTCCTCTGAGGGAATCCAGCTCCGGCAGAACATTCAATCCGTGCTGTGTTTTAAAGGGGTCATATGATGCGATTTCAATCTTTCCTTTCTCTTTGGAGTGTTACAAGCTCTTGGTGCATAAAGAAGATCTGTAAAGTTGCAAAGACTAAAGTCTCAAATCCAAAGAGATATTCTTTATAAAAGTTCAGAGTCAGCCACGCCTACCT